GTATTCATTTTATATCTAATTATATATGTATATTACGTATTGAAAGTTTTGAATAATAATATTTAATAAATAATTAAAATTGCAAAAAACTAAAAAAGAATAATATTGATTTTTAAAGTTTCACTTAACTTGACTTGGTACTAAATTAATAACTAACGCAGATAATCAAACAAATTTATGGAATTATACTATAGGCTATAAAATAGCAAAAAGATGCAACAGAATAATTATATTTCATAACAAATACCTGTTTAATATTTTATTATGTAGTAGCTAACAAATGTACTTTAAAGAATATCTAGGAATTCTTATGTCTACGCCAAATCGAGTTGGCGAAGCAACAAGTTAGAGATATCCCGGCCGAGCCGCATCTCGACATTATTGAGGGTCTCTGGGACTCGATCGTCCCCACCCTACATCTCCTCTTACCACTTATCACATTTAGTGATATTCTTTCTTTAAATAACATTTTGATTATTTCTGTAAATGAAATAAATCTGCTCTTTAAACATCACAGCGCACTTAACAATCATCTGAACATTAAAACATCTTGACCAACTCTCACATTTATTATATGTATGAGTATAAATAGGAAAATATTTATGCAAGAAAATGCATTCGAAGATTTGCAATTTTACGGACAAAATTAGGTCGGTGTTCATTAACTATTCGATATTTTTTTATTTATATTTTGCGCAAAAATTAAATATGACCTTAATAAGATTTTATAATATCTTAATTATAAAATCTTATCAAGAATAAAATAAGAAAAAAACTATAAATCTTTTTTGATTGTGCATCATGAGTACACATTAATTAAAAAAAACATATTTTTAAGACATAAAATACTTACTTAAAAATTACAAGTATACTATTGTACATGGCTCTTTCTGTATATACCTCATATATTTTACGGTATATCTCAAGGGTCTATTCTTAGCCTATTTTTATTCTTATATTAATGATTTTTTTGCAATGTTGTACAGATGATTAGTGAAATATTATTAGCAGGTGATGCTTCTTTGATTTTTACAGTAGATAAAGAGAGACCAAAAATTATTTTTGCTCTATCTGCACTCTTTCGACTGTTTCTCCACCCCTCGATATAATGACCTAGTCGAGAGGCTTTGAATTATTTTCTTATAACAATCCAAACTCGACACGTATACAACCGTGCGACTCAAGTCGTTCCCTTTAATGAATAAAATAACATGTCAAGATACAGGCTTCATCTTAAATTAATGAGGATTCACGGCGACGTATTCAATTTTACACGTAACGAAGGCAAATAAACTTCGACTGGTAGATACCTACTTGCTCGAGACAGGCGCCAAACTTCCCCATATATTAAACTCCTGCTAAATACACGCCCGTTAATTAATATCGTGAAAGGAAACCTAAAAGTTGTTCCCGATTAGAAATTCTTAAAGACTATACAAATAAAATCTCATTTCTCTCAAGAGATAACCAACATTTCACTTTTATCAGTTGGAAAGCTTAACCCTTCGAAAGTTGATTAAAGGTACAGGATTTACGGTCGAATAAATATGAGGGCACGTGTGTTAATGTCTTACATCCTAATTAATAGTCCATTCGGTGATCTAAACATGATTAAGAAACTCGTCTCGGAGCCGGAAAGTTAATAACGTTAATTAATGCGATCGTTATTTGTTTTGTTGATGTACTTACTAATAGTTCAAGAGTTAGACAACTTCGATTGCTACGTAGAAAAGTTATTCAATTATTCAGTAATGGTATACGGTGATAAAGCAATATTATCTACTTTATAGTACAGATAGTGACTAAGTCATTTTATCTTAGTCGTATTGAATATTTGATGTACTTTACTTTCTTATTTTCCTTTATATTATAACATAGTAAAAGTAATTAATTACTGATATTATAGCTATAAATTACTAACAAACGGTCTCTCTATCTTAAGTAAAATATTTTTTCTTTTTATTTCTGAGAGATGTGTGAGGGGATAGGCTATGGCCTATCTATACACATTATACCAATTAACTTTCGAATTACCTAGATGAGAAATTATCTAATCCACGGATAACATACTAGTGATTCGGCCCGATTTCACATGAGTAGATAGATTTTTTTTAAATAATATATAGACTATGTTATTTGCTGTTAATATAGCTTTCTACAGATGAAATAATTTTAAAACCAATTGAGTAGTTTTTTATTTTATCCATTACTAATAAATAAACAATAAAATTTTCTTCTTTGTAATATTAGTATAGCCCACAGCCTCTTTTTCGATACGGATAAAGTTATCTAATTCTTAAAGTGAACTCTTTATGTTCAAAACATGTAACTAACATTATTTATATTGCAGACATTCATAGGTCTTTAGCTTAGATAAGCGATAATTTTCTTGCTCTTATTCTTTTTTACACTCGTTAATGTGTGGTTTGGATACCATATATTTTTTGACATGTATTTATATTCATATACGTAGACATAACATTAGAATTTTTTCTTTAACAAATAAGCAAGTTCTATTTAAAAAGTTCCACAGTTACCTTTACTTGCCATTAGCATTTTTATATGTTTATCTATATTCTATTAGGGCGTATGTTATATATCGTTTCCGCGTGCGTCCAACACAAATAGATTCGTACATGTTTGTCTTGGCTCGGTTTAATTAATTTTACCTTCATACGCCGATACTGTTTGTCGGGCGCTCCTTAATTGAAAACGCTCTCACCGGAGTAAATGAAACGAAATCCTATTTGCTCCGAGTGATTGAAGCGAATTTATCTTTTAAGACTTTCAAATTTATCTTTAAATCGTTCGGCATTAAATTATTTGTAAACGTATAATGCAAAGATGCGCAGGTAATTATATTTGGATTGCTTCCCATCGGATTGTTACTGCGATTTATTTTTAAGTTGTTAAATAATACTCGTCCGAGACTTATTAGCTATTATTATAATGACCCATTAAGATTATAAAATGACCATAAAAACACTGGTATTCCCAGTGTGAGAACGGATGGTAAGTTACTAAAAATAGAATACTCGATCTATTTAACTTCATTGCTTTTCTAGAAAAATAGTTAATTCTTATTTGTAATTAGTTCAATGACTTTAAAATTAAATTGATATTTAACTTAGTCTATAACTGCAACGTTAATAAAATATTGGATTTTAAAAAAAAGATGAAGAATGTAAAATTTTCATACTAAATACAAAAAAAGGTACAAAATATAAATATTATTATTTTTAATTATATCTAAATTTGTGGTCATAGGATCTTCTTTGATTCTTTATATTTCTAGCTATACCCCACAGCTATGCATCGCGGCTTTACTCATGTGATGGTATATATTTCTACCAAATTTCATTCAAATTAACTTAAAAATTTAAACGTAATTACGTAATAAGCATGCAACTATCTTTACAATTTATGTTTATTTCATGTTTATTACATTACAGTGGTTAAAACTTTAGCTACATATTAGTGCATCAGCGACATTCTGGGACGCGCGTAGTTCACTTCTTTATTATAATTTTAATTAATCTCAGTTCTCGTTCGTCAAACAAGACGACTGCGCGTGCCACGTAACAAGTAATATCATATTGTTATAATTTAATATCTCGACAAGATATTGTCATTTATTAAGAAAACGCTGGAAGAACAGAACTTATCTAGCAGTAGCTCATAAATAAATACATTAAGTAGGTTTAGTTGTTCATATAATCATTATTGCCTTATTGATTTATAAGAATTATATGAATCAAATTGAAATAGGTATAATACGAAGTTGCATTCGAAAGAAGTAGGGTATTTAATTACAAATAAAAAGGACGCTCTGCCACTATATAGGTATGCTTCCGTAGTTGGTTTTTAGTTTGAAGGGTGAGATTATAAGGAACGAAGGTACCCTTGTCCTCAGGAACGGCAACACAAGAAGCCGTGGATATTACAGTATATTGTATAAAGTTCATGGTACTGTACATGGTAAGAAAAGCGTATGAACTAAACCGTAGCGTAGTTCCTTGTTGTCTGTGTATAAAAATATGTAAATTTTATTATAATTTAAGATCGTCATTAGAGTTTTGAGTACAATAATAAAATATCCAATGCCATAAAATCAGATGTATATCGAATGTACATTAGTTGATTTACGGCAGGTGTCATTACCTTGCTATATTATCCATTTATTATAACTTAACGAGCAGTAAACGGATTGGTACTGACTCGTTATAAGTTGCCTTCTATTCCGAAGCTCAATTAAATATAGCATGTCGTCTGTATTGAAGAATTGTACATAAAATATCAGTGTATGCAAGTATTATAATATTATTTTTTTGTTGTTGATAATACATGAAATATTTTGCAAAATTTAACTTTTAACCGTAGGTTGTGAGTTCGAACCTGACTGATATTAAAAGCTTTGTGTGTTAAAATAATCCGAGAGATGGCATTAAGTTCGTCTCTTATTATGTTCGAACTACTAAAAACTACAGAAATACCGACGGTTTTATGCGTTAACGTAATTGTTAATTTTATTTGACGATATTGAATATATACCTACACGCATTTATTGATTTGATTTGAATTTTTTTTTTTTATTCTATAATCTTAATAATTGCAAACTTTAATTTGTATCCTTATTTAAACAATAAATTAGATTTGCATGCCTACAATTTTAAGACAATTAAACACATGCCAAAAAGTTCTGTGACATGGCCTTTAGAATGTCAAATGTCTGTTTAAAGTAAATAAATATTTCATTTCATTTCAACAGTTTTTCGTTATAATAAAATAATTTACTTGGAACGAAACTTATATACTTAAATTGTTACTCACGATGAATTAATGTGACGACATAACTTGGTAAATTAAAACAAAACATCACCTGTAACGTTCATCTGTGCTCCTAATGATATAAAATCGATTTATTTATTTTTTGTTACCAAATCTAAAATATTTTTTTATGTTTGTTTTCAATTCTAAAATCAATTTTTTTTTTGTTGCAGAATGTTCGGCACAGGCGGCGCGTGCGCAGCATGCGGGCAAGCGATCCCGGCGAGCGAGTTCGTAATGCGAACGAATGCACCCCAGCAACCACTACACGTCTTCCACATAAAGTGTTTCGCCTGCTCCAAATGTGGATCGAACCTTATGCCGGGCGATAGGTGCGTAAAATTTTGTTAAATCTACGTCAAGTAATCATTTGAAATGCGTGATTAGAATAAAGTTTGACTAGCTATATCCCGTGACTTCACATAACCCTCGCCTGCAGACATCTTAATAATATGATCACAGATATTGCTCGTCTATTCCCGTATTCGTAATGTATATATGATTTGCAACATATTTAAATCGTTGTGAAAGATTTCTTTCTAAGAAGGCAAGGAGGACGTAAAATTAATTGATTATATAAATGATCATTCTAATAGATTGCACATTTATATATCGAAAGTAAAATTTGTTTCTTTTATTCTTATTTTAAAATGGTGGTAGTAAATAATGTATATCAAGATGTACAACATCAAAACATTTGAACTTAGAACGTGGAATCGTCAAATGTGGAACTTATACCACAAAAAAATACAGACAGCTTCTTAAGTCCCGGTCATTGCTAAAAGAATTCACTCAATATCTGTTCAATATTGTCAAAAACTTCGCATAGCATAATAACAAAAAAAAAGGCGAATTGATAAACTCTATCTTAAAAATAGCACAATATAACAACACCGCCTTATAAATCCATGCTGTATATCGATGATATTAATCTTATACAGCTAATTTATCTCCACAAACTTTAAATCATTCGTCTTAATTCGAGCTACAAATTATCTTCGTGTTCGTATCGTACATTATGTCACTTACTGTGACAATAAATATTCTGATGAAGTTATTCTGCTTTCAACTGCGTTTTCCTGTTGCATTTTATTCTACATTATTTGCGTTCTCAAAATACTTATATTCTGCGTTGCATTTTTAAAGATTTAAACTTAAAAATTGCAAACACAAATTAAACAATTTTTAACATTCTGGATTATGGCATCAATCATAATAGAAATGTAACCGATCATTTGTGTAGTTCCATATGGTAAGAGTGTTCCAAGTGGTGTTTTTTTTTAAAGGAAAAAAATGAAATTGTGACCTCAGTTGCTGCTATTAGTATATGCTAGCGGAGCACCAGTGAGAGATAATAGGTGAGGATGAAAAACCACGGCGGTTTCAAAGGAAACCGCGTGGTGGTCGACTTAATAGGGTATATTGCTAGCAATGGGACTGTTATATCCCATTACCAACAATCATTTTGCCCCTTAGAAAAGTGTTAGGTAGACACATAATGTTCTCAAATAGATATGTAATAACTCAGTTGATAGATATTCATTTGTTTATTTTCCAACAGGTATTATATGATCGCGGGGTCACTAGTATGCGAACAGGACTGGCAGAAACTAATGAAGAGTGCGAACGCGTCAACGGGTCCCGTGGCGCCGGTGCGCAAGGGCAAAGTGGGGCGCCCACGTCGTTCGCGGGAATGAGCGCCACCAACCTCTGCGCCCGCACAACCACACTCCCATAGAGACTACGAGGAGGTACGTAACATTTTTAGAACCATAGTTTTACACTCCACTAAATTTAAAATAAAGTCCTACAAAAAATAGTTAATACTGTAACTACATTTTTCAAGAAACCTATAATGGAGGATATTTGGTATACAGAAGAAATTCAATTTTTATTTTATCTAGTTTTTTTTTATGGGTGAAAATGGAATGGTAACCCCGCCTGCGCTAACGAGATACGCTAGCGGAGCACCAGTGAAGGGTAATTGATGAGAATGAATACAGGCCAGTTAGCCGATCATGATGAATTCATCAGGAATTAACCATGATAATTTCCAGGGGGAACCGAGAGGAGGTCGACCTGGTTGGGTATATTGCTAGCAATGGGATTCTTAGTCTCCATTACTCACAATCCCTTTCCCCCCTTTTATTTAGTATTAGATTATGGTAGTTTATAATGCATCACAATATTAATTAACGTACTTCATGAACACATTGTCGTGTGGTCCCGCCATAGAATAGGTTACTTCTTCCTTTCCCATGAGTGTAGTAAGTGGCGACTAAGGGAACTTAATGGTCGAGAGACGGCTAGCAGTGTCCCTTTTAAACATCACCAAAACCTAACTAGAGTTGCCAACCGTCCTGCAAGCATGGCAACTTCTGGCATAACTCCCCTTATGGGGAAGACCTGTGTTCTACAGTAGACAGTTAATGATGGATATAATAAATAATAATTAAAACACGATCCTAAGTTATTAATATTCTAAAGCCACAAAATCAATCTCGATACCATTAAACAGCTGTACAGACATACTGCACAATCATATCAACAACTCGACATAATTGAATAAATCGATACCTACTATCGATCGTTCGAATCAGTTAATTCGATCCGAGCTGATGCATTTTTCAATATAGTGCCCCTCGATGTCGATTACAAAGGCCGGGTGGGCGGCACCGCGGCTGACCTCTGTCGGTATATTATTAACACTGGCATATCGTGACTAACTCTTGATTAGGTTATACTTTAATTAATTACGTTAATTATAACCTACTGGCCACCGAGCGAGCTTTGACTGACATTGGATTGCGGTACTTGTTTGCCGCATTACCGCAACGCGACAATACTTATTATGTATACTTGTATGATATAGGTGTAACAATAAAACAATTAAATGAGACTGATACAATCAAAACACATTTTTCATATCTATTATATTGAGACTGATTAATAGAATTATATTATTTCACATGCGATTCGTGATGATGTCACGATTTCGTGATCTAAATTTATAAAATAATTTCTATTTAAATTAATTTTAAGTTAATTATAATTTTAATTAATTGAATTTTTTTTCCTTAATATAGATGTTTTATTAGGCTTTTCTAAAAATTTTATTACACATTTAAAAATTACTATTTCAAATATAAAAAAGAAATCATTTTTTTTTTCAGAAAATAAATCATTAATTTATTCAATATTAATTTATTGTAGTTATATATTGTGATGTTTGTGGGTACATCATTAATGTATGACATTTGTAAATGTGTATACCTATTTGTCATATATATGATTAACTGTGTATATATATATATTGAACTCAAGCGTGCATTTAGTCATTTAGTGTAGTGGAAGTATAGTGGAAGCATGTTCGGCGGCAGTCTCAGCTTCGATCATAGAACGCAAGAATGGAGCATTTTTCAAAGCCGTTTTGTACAATATTGTAGCGAATGATATCGACGATAACACAGACAAGACAGGGATAAAACGCCGTGCGTTGTTACTCACGGCGATGGCTGAAGATAACTACCGAATAGCGATCGATTTGACCTTCCCGACCTCTGTGGAGGTTATCGACTACAAAGCGTTGATTAAAATTTTAAATAATCATTTCAAAAGTAAAAAAAGTTCCTTTGGCGAGCGGCTCAAATTCAACTCGGCACAACAACGACCGGGTGAGGAGTTAGCGGAATGGGCAGCTCGAGTGCGGAATTTGGCTAAACATTGTGGGTACAAAACTGAACTGGAAACAATGCTTCGAGATCGTTTTGTTCTCGGTATGGTGCTTTCGAAGGAGAAAGAAAAGTTATTTGCTTGTCGAAACTTTGACCTTTAACCAATATATATATATATATATATATATGAGCGCGGCGGCCGCAGCGGCGACGGTGGCGGCGGCGGCGGCGGGACCGGCGGCGGCGGCGCGCCGCGGCCTGGCTCGGCGCCTAGCAACGGCGCGATTTTCGTCGCGAAATATATATTCAAAAGATAAGTGTCGATATAGTTATATATATATAAATATACGTAGTAATTATATGATACGATACTGTTAATATGATATGTTTAATATTGCATTAATGGTGAGCCGATATTGATGGTTGCAAAATAATGAGCGAAGTCGATAGTGGTAGCGCTGTTTCTGTCTTGCCTTATAGTATATATCGGTCCGCGTTTGAAAAGAAAAATTTTTGTGAAGTTGTTTTGAATTGTTATAACGGGAGCAAAATCTCACCTGTAGGTTACATAATGACTTTCACTTTTGAAGGTCGCATTAAACCAATTAAATTGTTTGTAATAAATACACAAAACAATCAACCAGCATTATTAGGCCGGGATTTCATTAGCGCATTTGATTTACATTTGTGTAGGGTCGGTTGCAATAATTTAAATGTTGAAAATATTAGTGATTTATTAAAAAAAAGTTTAGTGATTTATTCAAAGATGAGTTTCTTTTAACAAATATAAAATAAATTTAAAATTAAAATCAGACTCGCAATTAAAATTTTTTAATGCTCTTCGAACAAAAGTAGAAAATGAATTACAACGTCTTTTGGAATTAGGAATTTTAGAGAAAGTAGAATATTCTGATTTTGCCACTCCTATTGTACCCGTTCTTCGGGCAGATGGTAATATTAGAATATGACTTTTCAGTGACATTAAATAAGGCTTTATATTCAGATAATTATCCATTATTGAGGATTTGTTTGCTAAACTGCATGGAGGGGTTGAATCTAAATTAGATCTTTCTAGAGCCTACAATCAATTAGTACTAGACGATTCAAAAAAATTTACATGTATAAATACACACAAAGGTTTGTTTATATACAACCGTTTAGTTTTTGGATTGTCAAATGCGCCATCTATTTTTCAACGGACAATGGAACAATTATTATCAGATATCGAGGGTACTTGTATATTTTTGGACGATATTTTAATAACAGGGGCGACTAAAGAGGTACATCTTAAGAGGTTAGAGGAGGTGTTAAGTCGACTGCAAGAAGCTGGCCTACGACTAAAATCTGACAAGTGCGAATTGTTCAAAGAATCGGTGGAATATTTAGGATTTAAAATAGATCGTAACGGCTTACATAAATCGGAAAATTGAAGCAATTTTAAACTGTACAAGCCCAAAAAATGTAAATGAATTAAAATCTTTTTTAGGTATGGTTAATTATTATAGATGCTTTATTCCTAACACTTCTAGTTTATTAAATCCACTGCATACTTTATTGAAAAAAATGAGAAATGGAGGTGGGATGCGATACATGACGAGACATTTAATATGATTAAAAAGCAATTGGCATCGGAACGGGTGCTGGCGCATTACGATCCAGTGTTAGCCACTGTGGTGACATGTGATGCCGGTCCAGCAGGACTGGGCGCTGTGCTGGCCCAGCGGCAAAGCGACGGACGCGAGCGGGTCGTTGCTTATGCGTCTAGGTCACTTTCCAAAGCAGAACGTAATTACGCACAGATCCAGAAGGAAGCGGCTGCTATTGTCTTTGCTATAAAAAAGTTTCACTACTATTTGTACGGTCGTATGATTCCATTTACGCTTCGCACAGACCACAGGCCACTTTTATCAATTTTTGGAAGTAAGAAAGGGGTACCGGAAATGGCGGCCAATAGATTACAAAGGTATGCCTTATTTTTATCGGCCTACAATTTTAACATAGAATACATTAAAAGCGATCAAAATGTTGCCGATTACCTGTCTAGATCGGTATTACCGGATCAGAATTCCAGTAATAATGTAGAGGACCAAGCTTTATATATAAATTTTGTCACGGATACAATTTTGAAACCAGTGACTATAACAGATATTAAAAAAGCTACAGCTAGCGATAAATTAATTAAAAAAGTAATGGGTTACATCGAAAAAGGGTGGCCTACCAAGATAACCGATCCAGAATTAAGGCCTTACTATAACTGTAGATTAGAACTATCAGTTGAGAATAACTGTTTAATGCGTGGCCATAAATTAGTTATTCCGGCTATTTTCAGGGAACAGTTATTAAACGAATTGCACAATTCACATTTCGGAGTTGTTAAAACGAAAACGGAAGCTCGGAGTCGTATGTGGTGGCCTCAAATAGATAAGAATATTGAGCAAAAAATCGGCTCTTGTAGTATATGCGGCGCGCTTCGAAACGCGCCAACCCTTCGCAGCCATGGGAACGTATACATCTAGATATGTTGTATATAGATGGAAAATATTTCATGGTAGTAATACTCTAAATGGTTAGAATGTTTTTTAATGACGACCACTACTACTGAAATGATTATTTCTAAAATATGTGAACTGTTTAGTAGGTTTGGGTTGGTGAAAACTATAATTATGACAATGCTCCTAATTTCTGTTCAAATCAATTTGATGAGTTCTGTAACAAAAATGGAATACAACATTTAACTATCGCACCCTATCATCCACAATCAAATGGGCAAGCAGAAAACAGTGTAAAAACTATAAAAAAGGCTTTAAAAATTATATTACAAAAAAACAAAACACAGAAAACTATATTACAACAATTGAATAAATTTTTATTTGATTATAGAAATAGTAGTCATTGTACTACCGGTTTTTCTCCAGCCCAGTTGTTGTTGGGTCGGTCTTTACGTTGTAGACTCGACCTCCTGCTGCACGTGCCAAATGCGGATAGGACAAATAATTTAACAGAGTCAGTATCAGCTACAGCCAATTCTAATGTTAAAAATAAACAGACCTTACAGAGTAAACAATACGGAGGACATC